AGCACCAGGAGGCTGTTTATAGCAATAATAACAGTTGAATAGGAAGTTTTCATGCTTGTAAACTCTTTAATAAATGTAACCAAAGCCGTCAAAGATTGAGGAAAGATGTACACGTTCGTAAGTGCTTGCGTAAGTGTTTTCGTGAATCTGGGCCCCAGATTCTTAGACACCTTAAGACGTAATACAAACCAAGTTGTTACTCGGGTCATTGATAACAATATCTTAGAAAAGAGACGATAAACATTGAATATAAATATCTTAAGTTTAACAGTAATACCGTTGTTCTACTAAAGGCTTAGCCGGGTAGTTTTGTAATTCATTAGAGACGAAGTACAATGATGTGTCCATCATTAGTATAAGAAAACATGGATCTAATGCTTATTATCTGTTCTACAGGACTGTTTCTGTCAGCGACATACGATTCTGTGTCTCTGGTCAGTCACTCGGGCGGCTTCTCTGATCACATGTTGTTCGAAAGTTTCCAGTGCAGTCCCTCCTGAGGCGTCCTACGTCACCTGCTGACATGTGATAGACTGTCAATCCTGATAAGGCGTCCTACGTCACCTACTGACATGTGACAGACTGTCAATCCTGATGAGACGTCCTACGTCACCTGCTGACATGTGACAGACTGTCAATCTCCTACCAGTCGCCATGATCTGTTCATCTCCAGTCTACAAAATACTCTTAACATCTTGTACATATAATTTTAGTATATATTTAATAATAATATTCTATTTATTGACAATTTATTTAAATAATAATATTAAAATAATATTTAAGATATACTTTATTGTAAAATATCACTGGGTTGTCTCAGATTTTCATAATTATGTAATTTATTCAATAAACACATCTAAATTAACAAGTAAATTATCTATTCGACAATAACTTTTTTCTTTCGACATAACGAACATTATATTATATAATTGTTTTATAGGACCTTTGACAAGCCGTCGGCTTCCTGTCCTCGTCGAGGCCACTAGAGAGAAGCCTCTCTCTAGTGACCCTCAGGTAAATTCAGATAAAAGCTACTTCACAAGTAGCTTTTTCTGTGGACTCATATGAGTAAGTCTCCCTATTGAGGCCCATGCATAGAAAACGTAAATATTTATGCTTAATAGGTCGTATTTGCAACGTTGGTTACAAAAATATGACTAACACGACCTATTGGTTGAGATCATGAACATGTATTAAGAACAGTATAGTTAACGCATAGGTGTTGTCACAAGAATCTCTCTAGGAAAAGAGATTGAGCCTATTCCTTCATCACCTGTTCAATCACAACACGTCTGCATGCTCAAGAATAACGAATTAACAGCGAGAGCAACAATAACTATTCGTCTAGACAAGATTCCACTACCCTCTACACCACAGGACCCCAGATCCCAGGACATCTGGCGTCGGCATTCAGGCCCGCGCCATTCGCCGGGTCAACAAGCACCCTGATAAACAAATCCACAAGGGCTGTGACGAGGATTCGAACCTGCGTCCAGGAGCATCCCAGACACTGCCTTAATAGTTTTGATAGTTTGCGTCTCCGTGCTACTTGCCCCGCTCCTGTGCCAGGTAAGTTACGGGCTCACCATAACCCGTGCTACTTGGAACTTGTTCCGAGTAGCTGAATCTATAACAACACTACCAATTGATATGTTTGTCCTGCACACCGCCCCCCATCCAGTGGGCAGCGGTGGATAGGTTACAATCACTTACTAACACATTTGAGTTAAGATTTCTGGTAGCAGATCATACACATAATTTGAACATTTGTTATAGAATTGTCTCTGAATTCACGTATCTTTTCTCACTCCATCACATAGTGACGGAGGGTGTGCGAATAATTTTGTTGACACAGTTTACATTTGGTCAGGTCTACATCAGCAGATAATGAGAATTCCCAGAGATACTTGTAACCGAGTCTAAGCCGAGCAGTAGTAACATCTAGAAGTCTGCTGATTATATTGGATGGTCCATAGATGTGAGGCAAAGTGAAATCGACACCAGTAATTATATTTATCATCATACTATCATGCAAGAAGAGCCACACATCTATGGACATTTATAAGAACCGGAAACAAGCAGTGACTGTTACCAATACAGGAGTGTACTGGTCACTTTCCTTAAGGCGGATATGACATAATTTCCACTCTATAATTAGAACCTAACATAAATGAGTTAAAATATTATTATACATGTTACATAAAGGCCAATAGGAAACAAAAAACGTTTCTAACATCATTAAAAAAAATCGTGAATTTTCTGTAATGTATTCTTCGATTAAGTCTTCTACTATAAAACTACAGTTTATAGTAGTTGCTTAACTAGTTACCCAACGCACTTCCAGGTCTCGTCCTAGTGATTTTAGCATAGCCTTCCACTTTATGCTACGAGTGACAGTCTGTTGCACATTATACTACGAGTGACAAATGCACATATTAGACTACGAGTGACAAATGCACATATTAGACTACGAGTGACAAATGCACATATTAGACTACGAGTGACAAATGCACATATTAGACTACGAGTGACAAATGCAAATATTAGGCTACGAGTGACAGACTTTCACACATTAGGCTACGAGTGACAGACTTTCACACATTAGGCTACGAGTGACAGACTTTCACACATTAGGCTACGAGTGACAGACTTTCACACATTAGGCTACGAGTGACAGACTTTCACACATTAGGCTACGAGTGACAGACTTTCACACATTAGGCTACGAGTGACAGACTTTCACACATTAGGCTACGAGTGACAGACTTTCACACATTAGGCTACGAGTGACAGACTTTCACACATTAGGCTACGAGTGACAGACTTGCAATCAAAGCTATGAGTGCTGAGTGTAATATTCATTTATTTATTCAATAGTTCTTACATTCTTGTACAGCCACTAGTACGCGTAGCGTTTCGGGCAAGTCCTTAATCCTATGTTCCCTGGAATACGATCCCCGCGAAGAATCGTTTAACAACCAAGAATTTTACTGTTGTGTTAAACAGAGGCTACAGTTAAGGGTTTGCGCCCAGTAAATCGAACAGAAACGAACCCAGGACAAAGCACTCGCGGAACGCTAGGCGAGCGTCTTAACCACTACGCCACGGAGACTTATATGAAGTATATAGTTATATGAAGTATATTGAACCTTCTCAGGGTCAGTGAGGAACGAGGCGCCGAGGACGGTCCAGGTAAGATCAAGAGTCATCTATATATATAAAAATTTAACTGATTGTCTCTTAATCGTGAGTTGTAAGACTAAAATAGTGAAAGACTGCAGTCTCCGTGGTGTAGTGGTAAGACACTCGCCTGGCGTTCCGCGAGCGCTATGTATCCTAGCCGGGGAGGATTTACTGGGCGCAAATCCTTAACTGTAGCCTCTGTTTAACGCAACAGTAAAATGTGTACTTGGATGAAAAAACGATTCTTCGCGGCAGGGGATCGTATTCCAGGGACCTGCCCGAAACGCTACGCGTACTAGTGGCTCTACAAGAATGTAACAACTCTTGTATATATCTCAAAAATAAAAAAAAAATATCAGATATTACCGGATATATGCAGCAAGTAGTATCCGACGGGGAATTTGGTGTTGTTAAACCGGAAACTGGGGCCTAAAGATGTGAAGTTTCACACTAGCGCCACAAATTATCAGGAGACGATGTTGTTGTTATAGATTCAGCTATTTGGAACAAGTTCCAAATAGCACGGGCTATGGTGAGCCCGTAGTGGACTTACCTGGCACAGGAGTGGGGCAAGTAGTACAGGCTATGGTGAGCCCGTAGTGGACTTACCTGGCACAGGAGTGGGGCAAGTAGTACAGGCTATGGTGAGCCCGTAGTGGACTTACCTGGCACAGGAGTGGGGCAAGTAGTACAGGCTATGGTGAGCCCGTAGTGGACTTACCTGGCACAGGAGCGGGGCAAGTAGTACAGGCTATGGTGAGCCCGTAGTGGACTTACCTGGCACAGGAGCGGGGCAAGTAGTACAGGCTATGGTGAGCCCGTAGTGGACTTACCTGGCACAAGAACGGTGCGCAGGAGACGAGTAGTTAGCTGTCTTAATGGTACAGATTATTGACTACACTCCATCAACATAGGTTTAAGGGAATGTCTCCAGTAGCTAAATGAACCCCAGCTGAGTGGTAACTGAACCCCCACACCTAGTATTTTTTGTATTTATATATACAAGAGTTCTTACATTCTTGTAAAGCCACTAGCATGCACAGCGTTCCGGGCAGGTCATTAATCTTAATTTTCCCCGGAATACGACCCGTCAAATCGTTTAACAACCAGGTACCTATTCACTGCTGGGTGAACAGAGGCGTACAGTTAAGGATTGGCACCCAGTCACTCCTCCCCGGCCCTACCACTTGGGCTGGACGGTAGAGCGACGGTCTTGCTTCATGCAGGTCGGCGTTCAATCCCCGACTGTCCAAGTGGTTGGGCCACCATTCCTTTCTCCCGTCCCGTCCCAAATCCTTATCCTGATCCCGTCCCAGTGTTATATAGTTGTAATGGCTTAGTGCTGTCCCCTGTAAATTCCTTCCTTCAGCGGCCAGGATACTAACCCGGGCAAAATCGCTGGCGAAGCGCCGGGCGAGTGTTTTCCCACTGCGCCACGAGGACTGAACTTCATAATACATTGTAACCCATTGAATGTAGACTACACTATGATGATATATTCACTCGGAGCATGAGTGACGCTGCCTAGTACTGTCACTATGCTGGGATGTTCACTCAGATGAGTGACGCTGCCTAGTACTGTCACTATGGTGATATGTTCACTCAGAGGGTGAGTGACGCTGCCTAGTACTGTCACTATGGTGATATGTTCACTCAGAGGATGAGTGACGCTGCCTAGCAAACTCACCCTTAGGGGCAAAATTTACAGATTTACACACACGCTTAAAACTTTGCTACTATGACATGTGTTAATGGAGCCCATTACTCGCTGCATCTATACTCTACAATCCCTCATACATAATGGGGGTAGCAGGACACTGTTGTATAGTTTTGTTTAATACAATAATACACCAGCCAGCATTAGATTGCCACATCTCCACTGATATAGTTTTTTTCTACCAGTATTTCGTAGGTAAGAAGTGTGGGAAGATGTCGTTCGGTCTACGCGACAATTTTGAGCATTTTATGCTAGTACAGATGTGCGTTATATTTTTTTCATGAGAGATTTTGGTAATAATGATTGAGCGAAGAACCATATTGTGTTAATATTTTAATTTAGTTGGCAACAGTGGCGTGTGGACTAGCCAGAGTGTAAAAATTTTCACAACGTTTCGTGTAATGATCACCGCGCATCACCCACCGTTAACTGCATCTAGGCAAGAATGTACATAAGAAGAAATAAATCAAACAAATTTAAACTTGACACATAAAACAGAAATGTACATAAATAGTATGTATCAGTTGACAAATATTTTCTAGAACACATATGACTGATGTAAACTGTTATGTATTGTTCACTGGGTAAGTTGTCCAGTCGAAAGTTAATGAGTCGACCCCGGGACCCAGCCAGTCAGGTTACAACAGTCAGAGGAGGAGGACGCATACAGTCATGGCTCAGCCCATCAGTTACTTCTCTCCTGGACCCGCCAAAATCCCCGATGTGGTTAGTGACATTCATTATGCATATCAGTGTTAAAACCCATTCATGATATCATATAAACTCTATACACAGCCTGTGAATGATAGTAGAAACGCTAAGCATTATACATGTTCAAGGAACTATATATAGTTTTCATTTGCCTCAAATTTGTGATCATATTTTAATGGTAAAAGTCCAATTATAGTTTTGTAGTTAGTTACAATGGTCATATGTGATTAGTGGCTATATAAACAAATGAAATAACTAGTATGTAAATGTTGTAGTGTATATACCTAGTGTAATATTGTTTATAAGTAAATATTCCTTGCAGGCAATCCCATCTTACACTCCATATACCATCTTCTTCAACAAACACCAACATACTTGCCAAGGATCTAATTCAGACAGTAATTCACAATTGAGATACATCATCTTGGATATGTTATCCTCGTACCCTCCACTACATAATGATGCAGGGCCTGTGAAATAGTTTTGCTGACTAGAAGTCAACATGAAGTCATGTCTACATGAGTCTGCTCACCCAGATGGATGAATCATTGATGATATGGTTCGGTTGCATAGTAGTGTGAGGAGGAGAGAGGGATGGATTGGTGGCTGTAATAGGAGGATGAGAAATGGGTGACTGTAATGGGATGAGAGATGGGTGGCTGTAATAGGAGGATGAGAGATGGGTGGCTGTAATGGGAAGATGAGAGATGGGTGGCTGTAATAGGAGGATGAGAGATGGGTGGCTGTAATGGGAAGATGAGAGATGGGTGGCTGTAATAGGATGAGAGATGGGTGGCTGTAATGGGAGGATGAGAGATGGGTGGCTGTAATGGGAGGATGAGAGATGGGTGGCTGTAATAGGATGAGAGATGGGTGGCTGTAATGGGAGGATGAGAGATGGGTGGCTGTAATGGGAGGATGAGAGATGGGTGGTTGTAATGGGAGGATGAGAGATGGGTGGTTGTAATGGGAGGATGAGAGATGGGTGGTTGTAATGGGAGGATGAGAGATGGGTGGCTGTAATGGGAGGATGAGAGATGGGTGGCTGTAATGGGAGGATGAGAGATGGGTGGCTGTAATGGGAGGATGAGAGATGGGTGGCTGTAATGGGAGGATGAGAGATGGGTGGCTGTAATGGGAGGATGAGAGATGGGTGGCTGTAATGGGAGGATGAGAGATGGGTGGCTGTAATGGGAGGATGAGAGATGGGTGGCTGTAATGGGAGGATGAGAGATGGGTGGCTGTAATGGGAGGATGAGAGATGGGTGGCTGTAATGGGAGGATGAGAGATGGGTGGCTGTAATGGGAGGATGAGAGATGGGTGGCTGTAATGGGAGGATGAGAGATGGGTGGCTGTAATGGGAGGATGAGAGATGGGTGGCTGTAATGGGAGGATGAGAGATGGGTGGCTGTAATGGGAGGATGAGAGATGGGTGGCTGTAATGGGAGGATGAGAGATGGGTGGCTGTAATGGGAGGATGAGAGATGGGTGGCTGTAATGGGAGGATGAGAGATGGGTGGCTGTAATGGGAGGACGAGAGATGGGTGGCTGTAATGGGAGGACGAGAGATGGGTGGCTGTAATGGGAGGACGAGAGATGGGTGGCTGTAATGGGAGGACGAGAGATGGGTGGCTGTAATGGGAGGACGAGAGATGGGTGGCTGTAATGGGAGGACGAGAGATGGGTGGCTGTAATGGGAGGACGAGAGATGGGTGGCTGTAATGGGAGGACGAGAGATGGGTGGCTGTAATGGGATGGGAGGAGGAGGAGAGATGGTTGGATGGATGGAGGAGGAATGTCTGGGTGGATGGAGGGGGGGGTGCATCTGCAGCAACATAGCAACAATCTCCATCGTGGGAGGAAGGAAGGTGGAGGAGGACTGGAGGGTTGGCTGTGATGGAGTCAGTTCTGGGGTGGACGGGCTGTGGGGTGCCTGTGCTGCTGCGCACTTGCTTGGTAGCCTCAGAGGAAGAGGTGTTACTCCATTGATGTAAATTAATAAATAAAATAAATATATAAGAAGATACCATGGGTTGTTAAGAGTACATATGTTGGTGGACGAGTAGTACATTCTTGCAAAGCCACTAGTACACTTAATCAGCCACTTTCTAATAACTTATCACACTACTATTTTCACGCTCATTGCACACAACGCTACAAAAAAAATACTCAATGTTATTTGCTTCGCATGAGATTGGGTCAACCTTATAAAGGTTAAACAATACTACACCAATAGACCTTCAATGCCATACAGCTTCCTTTCCCTTCTCCAGTTATGACTTGCAGGGAAGCGCGCGCTAAAAATATTATTCATATCAAATTTATTTCGTATAGTAAAATTTTAACAAATTCAGGTGGCCCCAGAAAATATCCCCGCGGCAGGGCTGACGTTTGGCCTTGGGAGTTTGGCGTCTGGTATGGTTTACATGTTAGAGGTTGGCCAAGCGTATCAAACTAGTCTAATGGGGTTAATGATCCCGATGTTGACACTGCTTCTGTACGTGCAGCAGTAATTGGGTCCAATAGATGGATAACCAAATAGGTTCTACATGCAGCAGTAATTGGGGTCCAATAGATGGATAACCAAATAGGTTCTACATGCAGCAGTAATTGGGGTCCAATAGATGGATAACCAAATAGGTTCTAGTACCCAGTCTTCACGTAAATTATCCCCCTCCTTCCCTTGTGGATTGCTACATAGTCTCCCCGACTTAGTGCCTTCATTTGATAATTACTTCCATCATGGGTTTAACAGATCACTAATAATGCTGGCGACACTTAAAAAACAAAAAACAAAATCCATGGGATCTTGACAAAATAACCAGCATGGAGACTTAGAGTTAAGAGATGAAAGTCCAGAGGCAACACTGAATACATCATAGTCCCTGTGGAGGAGATTAAGACATACTGTACTTGGAAGAATTAGATGCAGCATAATCAGTAGAACCAAATTTAGTATCACTATGGCTGTTGAAGAAGACTGCAAAGGTACTTTGTCACCTGCTAACTAAACTTTTCAATAAAATACTTGAGACTGGAAACCGCCCTGAATTTTGGAAAAAGGCAAATGTAGTCACAATATTCAAAAAGGGGTACAGACAGGCGACACCAAATTACAGACTAGTGTCACTGACAAATATTCTGTGTAGAGTGATGGAGAAAATAACCAACTTGAGAGTAATTGAACACTTTGAGAAGATAAACTTTGTAACAAATAGGCAACATGGATTTAGAAGAGGAAAGTCGTGCCTGATAAACTTGATAAGAGATCTATGCCAAGGTTGCTAAAATCAAACAGGAAAATGAATGCTGGGTAGACAGTACTGTACTTTTCCTAGACTGTCAAAAAACATTTGATAATGCTCCTCATGAAAGGCTGGTCCTCAAGATGGAGAAGCAAGCAGGTATAACTGAGAAGGCACTGGGTAAGGGACTACCTGAGGATAGAAAATAGTCAGATATGAAGTTTCAAGTTGGAGGAGGGTAAGAAGTGGAGTTCCCCAAGGGTCAGTCCTGGGAGCTCTACTGTTCCTAATTATTGTGAATGACCAACTAAAGTGAGTGAGCTCATACATGTCAATGTTTACAGACAACGCAAACCTACTGTGGCATGTTAAACTTGATGTACTTCAAAAGGGTGCAGAATGACTTTGACATTACAGGAGTGGGCAAATGAATGGATGCTAGAATTCAATTCCAACAAGTGCAAGGTAATAAAGATGGGAAAGGAAGAAAGGAGACCAGAAAGTATCTACTGTACATCATAAAGGGAAGGCAACTACAGGAGTTGGGGGAAGAAAAAGATTTAGGGGTGGATATAATTCCAACATTATCTCCAGAGGCATACATAAACAGGGTAACATCAGCAGCATATGGTACGCTGGCAAACATATGAATATTGTTCAGAAACAAACCAGGGCTTTATTTCTAAACATAAAATTATGTTGGTCATTACAGTATTTCAGTATTGGTCTAGTGATAGACCTATACTGGAGTACGCAGCATTGGCATGTAATTCATACATTGACGCATAAAACCAAAATTTAAAAGTACTGTACACTGGTTTCCAACAACCCGTAAAGAATAGTCTCAAGAATGATGAGAATAGTTCAGCCACCAGATTAATCCTAGAGCCATAAGGTATAGGTTACAAAGCAAAACTTAAGAAATTAAACATCATTCCACATGGCAATAGAAAGAGAGGAGTCGGGAGACATGATTACCCTATAGAAAAGTCTCGGGAAAATACAATACACGACAGACAAGAACACTATTTGAAAGTGGTGGTACATGGAAAAAGGAGACAGCATAATACTTAAGCACCTAAGTTAGCTACATAAAATAATAGAAATGTTTTCACTTAAAATACAGTATGTATTTTAAGTGAAAACAAAATTGTACAAAATTGAATGCACTTGCAATTGCCAAGACATTACTGAAATTCGAAATCCTCAGAAAAAATGGGACCTGCAAGAAATTACCAGCTTCCTGTGTACTGTACTTGCCAAGGCCACTAGGTAGATACATAGTGGCCCCTCGGGTAAATTCAGGTATACAGTAGTAATTTGGTGTAGTGTAATAAATCCATACCCGGCTTGAAATGTAGGTATGACAGCCCAAAAGGCTCAGGGACCTTTACACAAGTTGATTGAATGTTGAGAAGTAGGACCAAAGAGGATACTCAATAGGACCAGTACTCAACTCCTACAAATGCAATTAGGCGAGCACCTGACAATTGCCACCACCTACTTGAGGGATGATGCAACTACTTTCCAACAATTTTATGATTTAACCAGCAAACATTGGAAGTTCATAAATATACGAACACCCATATCATGTCAAATTAAGTGTTGTGTCGGTCACAGGTACTGGAACGAGTGCAGGAGCAGCTGGTGCAGTATGGCACCACCGGTGTCAGCCTTATGGAACTCTCACACCGCTCCAAGGAGTTCGCTGTCTTCTTGAATGCAACCGAGGCCATCATCAGAGAATTAATGTAAGTGCACTTAAATATTAATATTCTAATTTGAGGTACTTAAATGTTCACCCAGAGTCTAAATAGTATGGCATCTCTGCAGGTGTATACCGGACAACTACAAGGTGCTATTTATGCAGGGTGGAGGTTGTGGTCAATTTGCAGCAGTCCCACTTAACCTCATCTCACGGACAGGCAAGGCTGACTATATAGTTACAGGTGAGTAGCAGGGGAAGAAACTGAGAAGGGATGGGGGAAGAATTAGCAAAAAATTTACAGTATGGGAGAATGAGGAAAAATAGTGATTTTGCAGAAAGATGTGGGGGAAAGACAGCTATAAGAGGTGGGAGATGATGGGAATTTGAGGGAAGAATGTGTTACGGAAGTAGAAAGTGTGAAAGAAGAGATGGGCAGATGTACAGAGGGAGACTTTCCATACAAATAGTGGTAGTGAAGTTCAGTTATTATGGCCAAGGGCGAGTTAACAAATGTGAAGCAAAGATAGACGATGAGCTTGAAATTTGAGAATAAAGATGAAGAATAGAATAAAATTGTACCCAGCTGGAAAAATCATCAGGAAAATGGGGGGGGGGGGTTAGACCTCTGAGAAGCTGCTGATTTCCTGCCCTTGTTGAGACCACTAGAGAAATGGAGGCCCTCGGATAAATTCAGATAAATTTACCATCTTCTTTAACTTTAGTACAGTGCCGTTTATGTTGCAGGGTCGTGGTCATCTAAGGCAGCACAGGAGGCTGCCAAGTATGGAAAAGTGAACCAGGTGGTGCCCAAGAGGGAGCGTTACACAGGTGTCCCAGACCGGTCCTCCTGGACGCTGGATCCAGATGCTTCCTACTTCTACTACTGTGCAAACGAGACCATCGAAGGTATGTAAGTGTACTCTATATACGGTGTATATATTACTGCACTGGTTTATTCAAAGTTTTCTGGAAATCATTACATAATATATATTTAAGGTATAGTTACTGTATTTATAATTTAAGGCACACTAGAACCCCTAAACAAATAACATGCGATAAGAAAGTGAATTTTAACGAGCCGTCACTTGACTTGAGTTTCACAAACCACTTTAAGCTGAAGTAAAAGATCTGCCTCGGTACAAGATCTGCATTAATGTGCCAGATATAATCCACTTTCAGCCACTCAATGGTATTGAATCTTCAGTGTTAACATGGAAAGCATAGTTATTTACTACAGTATTTAGAAATGAAGGCAAAAATAGTACAAATTCATTGACAAAAAAGATGATCTTTTCTGACCTTTTGCTCTCCAGTATTAGGATTATGTAGTCAATGTTTAGTCCTATTTTATGCCCAGTAACATTACTCAGGCATTATATATACAGTATTAATTTTAACATTAAAATTTTAGCTAATTATGGTTCTGTTTCATGTTTAGTCCAGTTGGTGGCTTAGGGAGATGTTGTTAAGCTAAAAACTTCCTATCTCATTCTTAACAATGCAAAACCAGAAAGCATAACATATGTGCCTCAACATATCCATGGGAGAGATGGAAAAAGATTTTCTGTATGTTGGTACTGTATTTGGTATGTTTCCTTTCACTTAAAGTTTAGACCATCAGAGTTTGTGCCTTCTGCTTCTAAGCTACACTTCATGGGAATGCATCATTATTAATTTTCCTTGTCCAAAGGTGAATCCCAGTTTCCTCGTGACAGGTGTGGAGTTCCACAGTGTGCCTGAAGTGCCAGAAGGAGTGCCACTTGTGTGCGACATGTCCTCCAACTACTTCAGCAAACCCGTTGACGTGTCAAAGGTAGGTTATGCACATTAGAGACTATTTTGCTGAGGGCTGAAATACTTTTCACTAAAGACTACCTCAATGACAATGCAATATTTTCCAGTTTGTAATTTTATGGAATATATATAAAACTTTTCTTTTTAATATAAAAAGTCTATTCAACAGTTCAAAATGTATTGGGTCAGCCTTCAAAATATAACCCATTGTAAAACAGGCTCAAGTCCAGAAAAGCATATAGCTGAAGGCTGCAGTGTGTCTGCAAGCTGATAATCAACATCAATGAATGCTTGGTCATGCATAAGTAGACCCTTAGAGTATTTATGGCTTGTCAGGTCTAGGCAGAATCATGGCAGGATCCAAGAGTGCTTTGTTAAGGATGATAACATTGTACAAAGTCCGGCACTGGCAGAATATTAGACAAGTACAAAAGCATGTGCTGTTCAGATAATATCGTAATTTAGAATTAAGGGAAATGTTTGATTTTCTGCAAGTTGTTTAAGTTCCTTGCTATGATTCCCTGTGATAACATGCATACAGTTATTAGATCCTTGTTGTTACTGTTACTATTTTAGGTGTGGTAATCACATCCATCCCTTCATCCTCGTGACATTTTTAACGGACTGTTCCGTGGTGGAGCCAGAGTGCAGCCACATAATCAAGGGTAAACATGCAGCCTGGAAAAAAAAGCTGTATTCATTTATTGCCTTTTAAATAGCCAAATATGAAATACAGTACAGTATTTGGCACTCTTTTGTCAGCAGTCACTGTTAATCCACTGTTAATGCTCCAGTCATGTGCATGGAAGACTTCCCCATGAAAACTACCATCAAATATAACGTGGACAAAGCCCTAGTCCTTTTAATTTTAACGTCTTGGCAATCCTCTATCCATTACAAGCGCTGTAGATGCTCATTTCTCAGGCATATTTATTATTGATTGTTTAATATTAAAATGGGTTATTTTTATGGTTTTCGTGTGCAAATGGCACATTTTGACAAAGCCATTAGCAGCCACTTGCCACTTACCATTCACTCTGGAAAACCACCTGTTGAATCCCAGCCCGTGAATTTTCATTCCGTTGTCCATTATTTGAATAAAACTTTATTTATGCCAGCAGGGCTACAGTCGTCTCTCATTACTGTAAGTTAGTCCGCTTGTTGCTTCACGTGTGTTGATGTTTACAGTAAAATATACAGTATACTATACTGTATATAATTTTTCCAAATTCATAAAATTTGAGCAAATTATTAGCTGAAGCAAATTTTTTTTAAATTAATGCTACAATGTATGTATAGTAAATACTTTAGTCACATTAAAAGTTAAAGGTTATTTGTGACATACTGTACTCTACTTATTTTTCAGTTTGGACTTATTTATGGAGGTGCCCAGAAGAACATTGGGTGTGCAGGTGTGACTCTTGTCATCATTAGAGATGACCTTCTAGGAAACTCTCAGCCTATATGCCCAACTATTTTTGATTACACAATTATGGCAAAGAATAAATCAATTTACAACACGCCACCATCATTTGCGTAAGTTAGGATAGGGACGTGGAAGTGTTATTTTATAGTCATAAAAACGTGACTTGTGACGTTTCACATGACTTGTGTAGGCATTATGGAGTTCAGAGCCAACAGAAGTGCTTACTTAATTGTCTAAAGACAGCAAGTTCTTACTCTAGGGCTCTGCCTCCCATTTATTAATAATGGTGCTTTTGCCCTTCCCTTCATGCTAATCCTGTTATACTTGCTCTTTCAGGCATATTCTATTTGTTTACCACTCACAGAATATAAGTACACACTGTATTTCATTACATTTTTTTTATTTTTAGTTGAATACTGTCCCCTTGTTTTGCCTTCACTTTTCTGAGAGAGAGAGACTTTTCACTTTATCTTTTCCTCTCATTATCTTGTCTGTTGTAATCTTATCATCTGTGATGGAGCACTTTCTTTTTCTAGTGTTAGGATTGTTCTCTTAATTTGCACTTGTAACAACTCTGGTACTACCGTAGTCTCATAATGAATTTACTTGTTCTATACAAGGTTGGAATTGCATACTGGCATTACATAGTCTAGGACTGGCCTGACATAAACTGTATATAATGTTCTGAATTTCTTGTATAGGCTTCTAAGTGTCCTAATTATATTTGGAAATGTTATGTGTAAGTATGTTCCTTTAGTACTAGTGCAGGAGTGGATTTTTAAGCCATTTTAGATATGAGAGGTCAGGCTGATTGCATGGTTTCTTCTGCTAACTTCCACCTGCCATTTTTGAAAGTGAAAAAATCTTTTTGCCATTTCTGCCATTTTTTTTAATTGTATATTTCCAGTCTAGGGGCACTATACCTTACTCCAGAGATTTTCTTAAAAAAACATTTCAGTGATAGACATAGTTCAGATGCTAGTTCCTTAACTACTTTGGATTGAATTCTGTCCACACCTGTGGCATTTGAATCTTTCAGTTTGTCAATGTCTTTGCTGATTATATTGAATGTTATGGGGATATCTCCTAATTCATTCTCTTCACTGCTTTACTTGAAGCAGTGACAAGAATTTCTTCTTTCAAACATTTGTGTGGATATTGGAATGTTGTCTAAACTCTCGTGTGAATACAGTACTTAAAGTGTGTACAATACCTAAATTATTTCAGAATCCACGTGCTTGGGGAGGTGCTGATCTGGGTTAAGGAAGAAGGTGGTGTGGCAGAAATGGAGAAGAGAGCACTCCAAAAAAGTAAGCTGATCTACTCCATCGTTGATGAGTCCCGTGGCTTCTACAGTAACAGCATTGACCCTATCAACAGGTCAGCCGATCGTTTATTGATGATTTTTCTTAGTTATTATGCGACCCCAGCCCATCCTCCTGTTTAGCTAGTACTTATAGTAATGATGAGCACCATCGTACATATATTGACATAAAAGGCAGTTAGAATGTAGAAATCGGTACTGTTGAATCGGGACAATCCGGAAAAGTTTTTGTACTGATGTTGCCAAGAAAATTAAACCTTACCTAACTTTCCTAGGCCTAATAAATGCCGAAGCCATTAATGTCAAAACCCTGAACTTCAAAATCCAGCTTGAAAAAAATCAGGACAAATGTGGGGACCTTTGACAAGCTGCCGGCTTCCTGTCCTCGTCGAGGCCACTAGTGTTAGTAGCCCCCAGGTAAATTCAAGTAAATAAAGCATATTACAGTACTGTGTTTATATTTGTAGGTTGGGTTGCGGGCTAAGTGCTATAATTATATTAAAAATTGGGCAATAAAGTCTGCAATTTATCTGCTGGGAGACATAGGTGACGTGTTGAACCTCATTCAGGTGCGTGATACAGTACGGTACTTCTAATGTACCAACTGATGACATTGTGCTACAGTTATACAAGGTTTACTGGAATGGTTATTTGTTAGAATTGAGAGGCAAATATATTGAATTATACAGTAAAATGCTATATAATATAGAAATTATATTACTGTATTTATATTTCTTTTGTAAAAGAAAAGTGTCATATGAAAATTACTGCTCAAAAAAGTTCCCACAAATTTAATAAAAATTAAAATAATCCAACTGAATTGGTTAGATTACCAAAACATTGCTGGGCTGCTCCTGCTCTATTAAATTCCTCTCTACACTCAGTTTATTCAGAATTTGAGCATTACTCTTTATAACTACTGCAGATCCAGGATGAATGTGGTGTTTCGTGTGGGCATGGGCGGTGGCAGTGAGGAACTGGAGAAGAAATTCCTGGATGAAGCAGCCCAGCTCGGCCTTCTCTCCCTTAAGGGCCACAGGTATAAACTCCCAGTCTTCCCAACATTTGCTTTCACTTAATATTGAATGTCCTGACTTCCAGGACGAGCATGTGTCTTGCTTTCCGACCGCCCCTCGCGGTCACCTTTCCCTCAATAGAATTCTTGGTGACTCGGATACTTTTGATATTGTTCGCCTTATGCGTTTTTGTTCTCGTATTGGCATCCTTGGTGATATTTAGCGCCCTCTGATTATTCCGCACATTTGATGGTGCTACATAGCCTTCCCGGTTTGGTGCCTTCTGTTTATAATTACTTACTTAATATTTCAGATTTGGTTAGAAACAAGCTTAGGTTTTTTCCCCCAAGTCTCATGCAATTATTACTAATTCAGTAGAATTCTCCAGTTGACACAGTTCTTAGCTTGCTGCACTAATGCTTTATTTTTATACCTAATGCAAAAATTTTTTAATTGTGCCACCTCACGTCATGATCGCCAAATTTCCTAACCTTTGCTTGTAAGAAATATTTCGATGCTTCCGTTATTTGCTTGGCCAAAAAAATGCAGAGGTCTAGTTCCTGATCTGTTATGAATCTGCATCGCCCTTCCACTATTGTCCTGAAGATGGGTTCATGATGAATAATGAATGCATCTCATCAATAAAGCCTAATGGAATCTTGGATCCTAAAGGATTTTTTCCTGGGCACCTGAAAGTATCTCAGGTACAGTACAGTACTTACATGTATACATGGCACTGCATGTGTACTGGTTACCCGCATGAAGCCCGAGGACTTTGCATGTGTACTGGGCACCCGCATGAAGCCCAAGGACTTGCATGTATACTGGGCACCCGCATGAAGTCTGAGGACTTGCATGTGTACTGGGCACCCGCATGAAGTCTGAGGACTTGCATGTGTACTGGGCACCCGCATGAAGCCCGAGGACTTGCATGTGTACTGGGCACCCGCATGAAGCCCGAGGACTTGCATGTGTACTGGGCACCCGCATGAAGCCCGAGGACTTGCATGTTTCCAGGACATCTGCATTCTATATGTATCCTCAGACACATTCATTTCGAGTACATATATCCAGGAACCTGTGCATTTTCCATTAATTGTGTACATGGGGCACCTGTGTATATTCCACGAACCTGTATGTGGTTGCACCTGTGTATATTCCACGAACCTGTATGTGGTTTGCCATTGTATTGTTGGGGGATGGAGCCTGTTAAGTTTATCGGTGTTCCAGGGCCAATGACTGATCTTTCCCTGGATGTGACCAGCATCCAAGGCACCTAACTCACAGTGCCTGTTTACATCCAGGCTGCTAACTACTGTTAAAGATCCCTGCATGTATTCCAGATACATAGTAATATCCCAGTTTGCATGTTTTCTCGGCACTTCATGGGTTGGTGCCATTAATTAATACGTATGCAAAGTCATATGATACCAGATCAGTGTTAAAGTATATTAATACCTGCACTGCAATTAATTTTTTTTTTTCCAGGAGGGAAGGAGGGAAATTGAGCTTTGTACTCGCCTATTGTGCTGGCGGAGGTTGAGCTTTGGCTCTTTGGTCCATATTTGTCATGTGTTCTTTGTCATATTATATTATTGTTTCCATCATGCTAGGTAGAGCATGGAACAAAAGATAGTCTTACAGTTCTACCAAACTAAGCGAGAACCTGCAAACTACCCACGAGGAAAGGCACTTTCCTTTTATCAGCATCAAGAAATCCTTAGTTTATTTAATCTGACATGATACTTTTCCAACTATATCTTGTTATACAAATATAATATCATCATATTAATCATTTCTTGAAATAAACTTTATTTTCTTGGACAGGTCCGTTGGGGGTATCCGAGCCTCTCTCTACAATGCCATCACCAAGGCTGACACCCAGCGTCTGGCAGACTTCATGACAAAGTTCCTTAAGGAGAACAAAAACTAATGTTAATCCTTTCACGGCCTTATATTTTTCAGTGTTGTACTGTAAAGGAGCACTTGTTGATATATATAAAACTACATTTGACAATTTTAGCCTCTTTTTCCCTTTATATAATGAGAATTTTGCATTAAAATTGTAGGCTCTGTTGTAACACCTACATATACAGTAACTGGTCTTTGGGTTATGTGGAAATAATGAGAAGCTAATTTGAAGGGGGTTGAGGGGGAGATAAGAGTAGAGGGCTGGAGTGGGGGTTAAGAGTAGGAAATGACACAGGGCAAGAAGAGAAACTGAAAAAAAAATTCAATGGGCAGGAATGCAAGAAGTGGAGGGAATATGAAGGGATAGTAGAGTTGAAGGTTAGAGTTTTCAGTGTACAAAAAACGGAAGTTCTAGCCCTTCAGTGTAAGTATGAAAACCTGCAAGGAAGGTAAATTTAAAATCATTTGTTGGTTATCAATTGAAGAATGCAACAATATTTTTAATAAGTTTCTTTAAAGAAAAGGACATGAATACAAAATTGGTGACACAGGTTTATTTAAAATGTACAGTAATTTGACTCTTATATTAGTGTAATAGATGGAACCAGTCATAATTAATATAAGCTTATAAGAAAATGTACTTTTTGAATGTAACTTTAGAGAATTTACAGCATGTTTTGAATACTGTACTGTTTAAGGAATGGCATATGTAGCAGTTTAGGCACATATTACACATCTGAGGAAAGAGTGATAATCATGACTGGTTCCTGCGTTGAGAGCTTCAGAGTACCAAGTAAGGTATTAATTGGACCGACATTTGGCACCCTGAGGTATTCGTTTAAACTTCGCAGCGTTGATCTTGAGTTTTCGGAGTCTTGCCCTGCATCCAGCAACCAGCTTAGGTGGCGGGCGGGGCGAGCGAGCCACCACCCATGCCCATTCTGCTCGCAGTCCAGGAAATTCTGAACATGAGTAGAGGCACGCAACGTTTGTGTAGTCGGTGTGCACCACCCACACACTCAGGGGAGGCACTAGCAGCAGGAACGTGTAAGTGAGAGAGAGAGAGAGGAAGAGATAGCCAGATATCAGAACACAATGATAGCATAATTATGTATGGTACAAAAAAAGGAGCAAGAGTATTATACAAAGTGGTATCCAACCATATACAGTATGTATACAGTACAGTAATTTGTTGTGCCCAATAGACAGAGCTGCCTAATAACTTAATTTTTCAAACAAAATATGTAGTACTAAATATTTTAGTTTTAATGTAAGTTGCATAAATATGTTAAATTTGATACTAAAATAAGTTGACTGAAATATGCAGACAAGAAGTCACAATAACATGGCTGATAATTAGACACTAGACTCTCAAACCTGAATATAAAGTATTACTGATTTTCAGTCTGTTCTGGACCATTATCAAGTTGTGTAATAGGAAATTGACTGAAATATTTTTATTATACCATGGCACCTTATCAAGTGTATCAAAGTTAAATTTGTTAGTCACTATATATGGTTTGTTGATATTAAAATTGAACTAATTTCTAAATAAATATTTGAATCCATGCAAAATCCCTCTGGAAACACTCTTTTTTCTTACCAGGCCTAGTAGTACAAACTCTGGCCATTAGATATACCTAATGCATGCATGAATGTACATTCATACAGAGGCCCACATGTCTTGTATGAACTTGAAAACTTCGGAGCCTGGGGAGCAATACCTCTTCTCTGAATAGAGGGCAGAAAAGATGTATCGTACTTTTCTCAAAACTGGGACACAACCGGCAAATGTTGCAGGGAAAAATATATACAAAATGTATCTGGCTTGTGTACTAAGCTATATCACTCGTGTACACTACGATCACCTTCTGTGGTTGTTCAATAAATCTCTGAACTGTATGTTTGACAAATCTTTCACCCTGTCCATGGAGGATAGAAGAAAATGTATACTGTATATGCTGATTAGCATTGTAAATGTGTGGCCACGTCTGTGGTAGAAAATAATAATAATAATAATAATAATAAAAAAAAGTGTGCACAAGGTCATACTGACCTTGCTTCCTGATGTTGTTGACAGGAAGTTTTATTGGCTTATGGAGGTCCACTTAAGCCATTTTCTGACTTTCCACACAATGGAACTCGCAACAATTGTCTAACTCGTGGGTACCTACTTGATGCAGGAGGTAAGTCCTATCTCTAATGTAAGGCACTTTCAGGAACATCCCATTGGTGTGATTTTTCAGCTTTTATGGGAAAAAATATAAAACTATCATTGTTCAAATTTTTACCATCTGTGAACAAAAAAGTCTGAATTAAAGTTGGTTTAATAGAGGGGCATGCCTTGCAATCTGATTATCTTAATTAATAAACTCAGTTTTTTATCTACATCTTGCCAGGATCATCCTCTTTGAAATATATGAAGCAACAATTTTGTATTCTTGCCAACCTTTTGCATAGTCCAGAGAGTGACACCTGTCAATTTTATCTTGACTTCAGTCCATTCTGCATTTTTTACCCCATCAATAGTACTGTATTTGCATTTTTTTCGCCCATCTTATGCAACTTCCTATTTTCTACATCCTACCCCTTTTCGTCAAACACATTTCTTGCTGATCATTTACATGTTCACAAGTGCTACATAGCCTTCCCAGCTTTGTGCTTTCTTTTGATAATTATTTGCATGTTTACAAAAAAATATACGAGTACATACTTCCATCAATATCAAGCTGGAACGCTCCTGAAGGCGACTCTGACAGCTGGGCAAGGACACCCGACTTCGTGACACTGGTACCGTCCGCGTTTTGTCCCTCTGTCACCACTTCCAAGTATCCATCTGAAGCAGAGCGGCACATTAAGTGATGAACAATGAACAAATCCACAAGGGAACAAATCCATTTGTTCATTTGATGCATCATGTTAGTGTGATCTCTGTGTAATGAACAATGATGTTTGTAAAGTTTTATTTATTAATTAATTTATAACAAGGTACAGTGGGTTTGGCTGAAATTTTGGTTTATACATATACTTTGATGTAAGTAAAGTGGATAGATATCAATTATTTGTGAATAAAGTGATGTTACAGTTAAGCCCAGCATTATAACAAAGCCAGTAATAACCACAGTAATTTTAGCAAGCTTTATAATTAAGCTAGCATAATCATTTGAGATACGGTAATGAGAACTGAGATTTAGATACTGTACAGTATTAACAATGTTAAAGAATTAAAACTAATACATACTGTATTTTAGTCAATATGAAGGCTGGTACTGTTTAGTTTCAGGTCCTGATACAATTATTTTTGGTTCTATGGAATTAGTGATAATGTGAAATAGATGACAATTATATATATAGGTATTTAAATGTATTTTGGTAAATTAGTACAGCAATTGGTTTTTAGAAACAAATCTTTTTGCGCCATGGCTAAATATAATTTTAAATGTGTGCCTTAAGTGCTGTAACTGGCAAAGCCGTGTAAATGCTTTATATGAAGAAACAGCATCACCCATTAATGTTTAAGCCTCAAGATCCTTCATTACACCTGCAGTAACCATAGTGCCAGAGAAACAAGGTAGGTCATTACTATATTATTTACAGTGGAACATTATTGCAAAGTCGCTAATACAAAACTTTTTTCTTTTAAAGTGGGTTGTAGAAACTAATCTTAGAATAAAATGTTAGATTTAAAGTGGGATTTTCGACTTACCGGTGTATGTATAAGTGGAGCGGGTGCAGGCAACGAAGGGCTCGTCACGGGTTGGAAAGCGAGTGACATGGTACCACCGACCCTCCAGCTGTAACAGACATTAATATTTAACCAGACATACAAGGGACACAATCGCATGGCTTGTCGAGCTTACCCAGTAGCAGCAGAACCCAGAGGCACACTGTTGGGTCCAGATGATACTGTTCTGGTAGGAGCTGTTTGCTGCTGACCAAATGGGCAGTCTCTAGGAGTATGGGTGTGTGGAAACCTGTATTGTGATAAGCTTAGTGAGTTCAAACCTGTAATATTGAATTATGACCTATGAAACATGAATTTTTACTCCCTGGAATGCCAGCTGTATATCAACTGGTTACAACCCCTCAGAGCCTGTCGCTGACCAGAGCGAGGACCAGAATCTGGTACTAGTATATAGCAAGAAAGGATACATACAAATGGTATTCTGTGTTACATGAAAATGTTGTCTTTTTGCGCATAAGATTATTAAAGCATGTCAATTAGTATTACTGTACTAAGTACTCCAATATGCTCTCATACTGTCATTTAGAATTAATGATACAATGTCTAGAAACCAGAATATTAATGTGTTATAGTGCTTAAAGCTGCCTGGCTTCTTAAGTTACTGTACTGGGTAATATATATCCAGCAACAATTTAAAAAATAAACATCGTGTTCAAACAGCTGAAGGTAGAAGTGAAGCCATTTTAAGCCCACCATTTTACTTCGTATTAACCCTTTAGTCTAGGTCTCTCGACTACAGCCAGTGCTAGATGGTTTTCCCTAAACAATAGATGTGCACAGATTTCTAGTATAAGATTAAACACTTGACTAAGTTCTACACATACTAAGTTAGCTACACTAAAGCTATAGATATAGGAGAGGCAACTTGTGTAACTCAGCTTTTCTAGCATTTGATAACTAAACTTGGTAAATAGATACTATGAATAATATAACATCATTTTAAATACCATTTTATGAACTATACATATAATTGACATGCTATATATATATATGATATGTATAGTTTATTATATGCATATTTATCATAGGTAGTACCTATCATGATATACATTACGATACCTGGGCTTTGTTAAATTTTTTATCAGTTAAAACACACTACTGAAAGAATTTGGGTCAGACATAGGAACTATCACTGAAACTCAAGGGAAGGAAGCACTATAAGTACTTAAGATTACTTAGGTACTTGGAGGTACTTAGATAAGTTCTTGCAAGAAGTGCCGGACCAACCAGGCTGTAGTGGATATGTGGGCCTGCAGGCCGCTCCAAGCAACAGCCTGTTGGACCAAGTTATCATAAATCGAGGCCGGGTTCGGGGAGTAGAACTCTCAGAACCCTCCAAGTAAGTATTAAGAGTTTGATGTATGTGTAGACCTGAGAATTATAAATATGTACTGATATTAGTAGAACTACCTGGCAATGTGACGTTGAATCTTAAAACTGAATTGGGATATGTGGTTACTCATGATTAGTAACGAATATCACTGAGCCTCTGAACATGCTCATTCTCAGCCGTGAACAATTTTAGACCGAATTACATAAAATATCTAGAGCTTTGTTATTATTTCATCCACCAAACGTGGTTATTAAGGCAGTCTACATAAGATTGTTAGTGCAGACTATTCTCATCCCATGTATAACGAACCATTCCGAGAGATATAAGGTGAACCTATAGCTACCTATTGACCTAGTCTGTAAACCCCTCATAATGGCTATATGTATCTGGATAGTGATCTAAATTTACGAAACTGTGGGCAACGATAGGGGGACAAACTAGAACGTTACATAGATTTCGTACTGTGTAAATTAAACTATTTTGAACTATATTTTATGTTGTATGAAATGGGAAATAATTTATTTTAATTATAAAGCATTTAAAATAGTTGAATTATTTATATTTCGCCTTTAGGAGACAAATAAAAATTTGACATGAAAGTATAAAAGCTGTATAGCCTAACATAAATCTACAATATCTAATACAAAAAATTACATAAACCATTGCTAAAATGACTGCATCCAGTGTGTAATATATTGTCATACATAGCAGTTATATTGCAAGAAGCTTTATTTTATACTGCAAAGGATGTATAGGGGAACAATAAATGAGGCTCCGTTGGTGGCAACAATCAACAGATTCAATAATGCCTCTAACTTCACTTTGCAACCACCGGGATAAATGACTATTTTATCTATACTACTGCTATAAATTGCTCTTTAACGGCCTTAGATGCATACATCATCTTGCCACGTATCGCCTGAGGTCTTAGAGAAGTTTGTAAAAATTTTCCGTTTCCTGATTGGAATTTTGAGCGGGAAAATGGTGTCTGTCGCCGGCTCGGGCGGGAGTTGGGCGCCAGTGTGTCCTCGTGGGCGTGGTGGGCGGCTGGTGTGACTTTTGGGCGTGGTGGGCGGCCAGTGTGTCCTGTGGGCGTGGTGGGCGGCTTGCTCCTGCTCTGCCAGAGGTCAGTAGAAGCTATTGTGCCGTATCTATCCGGTTAAGCTAGAGTTTGAGAAGGCCATCACCATCCTGGCGGTCTGGAGTTACTCTGGCGTCTCAAAGAGTTACTCTGGCGTCTCAAGGAGTTACTCTGGCGTCTCAAAGAGTTACTCTGGCGTCTCAAGGAGTTACTCTGGCGTCTCAAAGAGTTACTCTGGCGTCTCAAGGAGTTACTCTGGCGTCTCAAGGAGTTACTCTGGCGTCTCAAAGAGTTACTCTGGCGTCTCAAGGAGTTACTCTGGCGTCTCAAGGAGTTACTCTGGCGTCTCAAAGAGTTACTCTGGCGTCTCAAGGAGTTACTCTGGCGGTCTCAAGGAGTTACTCTGGCGTCTCAAGGAGTTATTCTGGCGTCTCAAGGAGTGTCTTCCAGTTGGTTCTCTAGTGTGGAGTGCCGGCACTCGCCTCACAGTGGCACTCAAGAGGCTCACCAGCATCTAAGTGTACTGCCATAAGACTCCTTAGTGAATCAGATACCTTTGATAGCTCGCCTTATACGCTCTTGTTCTCATATTATCCTCAGTGTAGAGCGCCTTTTGAACATCTTGGAACATTAATGGTGCTATATAAGACTCCCGCCTTGGCGCCATCTTTTCATAATCCGCCATAAGGTGCAGAAATTTTCCGGCAAGAGACGTGTACATAGTCGCAAGACCTTGCATGTTATCTTGCAAGATAACAAGGCACATCCCACCGCCCTTGTGGCCCTTAAATCAAGAACAATCATCAGTCAAGTCTACGAATATCAACATCTGGCAGATAAGAATAGCTCATATCACAAGTAAGTTTTACTTCTCAAATTTACTTGTATTTACAAATCCACAAGGGCCGTGACGAGGATTCGAACCTACGTCCCAGATCATCCCAGACGCTGCCTTAATCGACTGAGCTACGACATGGTCAAAAGAGTTGAAACCGAAGTTCTATAATGATCTCGGACGCAGGTTCGAATCCTCGTCACGGCCCTTGTGGATTTGTTCATTGATGCATCAGGTTATTGTGATTTCTGTGTTACTTATATTTCTTTTTTTTTATTTACTTATAAGTTTTACTTATTCACTTAGGTCTAATAGCATTAAGTGCTCATTTGGGATTACATACATGTAATATATGGTTGTCTGAGCAATGCTTGCAGAATACTTAATGCCAGGTTGCTCTTTAGCACAAAATTTATCTGCTCAAGTCACCTCCTTTCACAACTTTCTCATACTATTTTGAAATGGTTTCCTAAGCGTTGTGGACGCGTTAGGTTAGACCACTAGGTATTCTGAGTTACATATAAGTTATTATATATTATGTAAGCTCGTCGCACACTTCAAAGTAATTCACAGAATTTGACTGAAATATCGCACTTTGAGGTTTAATTTGTTGTATATTTGTTAAATAATGTAAAAAAAGGACTACATTTTCCGGAGTAACTTGAGAATTATCTGAGTCATTAACTTGATTATCTAACTTACTCTTACCGATCCTAAGGCCATGTCTACATGCCTTAGGTTCGGTAAAAGCAAGTAAGATAATGACTTATTTACTCTTACCGCACCTAAAGCATGTAGACATGCTGAATAATGAGCATTATAAAACCAGGACAGTGGTAATCTGTTAGCGTATTCAAGTGGAACAGCACTCCCTGGACCCGTATCAGAAGAGCACAGCGCTTTATTTTTGGCAGGGATATTCCTGCGCGGGCCCTAAGCCTCTGGCTGGCCCACTAAGTGTTGCTTGTTTCTGTTTGACTTGGGCGGAGTATGAGTATTTATGACTCGTATGGTCGCTTCAGTAAGATTTTGCCATATGTGTTTAACAACGTCTTCTGCTCTGTTGAATCTTAAGTTGAAATCTTAAACAGTGCTGCATAGCTCATCCACGATTTTTATTTGCATGATTCATAATTAAAAACGTCTTAAATTATACCAAAAAAACGTTGGACGTTTCCCAAGATAGTTTTCTCTCCTGAGCGGCATGAAGCACTTACATATGGTTAGGTTATGTTAGCATTAATTATTTAAGGCTAGATTAGATTAGGCTATATCTGGATGTGATGATTATTTTGTTAGCTTAAATCAAGCCTAGGTTTGGGTATGATAGGTTAGAATGGGTATTTTAGATTACGGCAGACTTCCATAGGAGAGAACTTGACCTGAAACCTCTCACTTTCACTTCATTTGGACGGTATCTAAATTGTGCAGCTGTGTACAAATTTTGTTACTTGTATCCATGATATCCACAATATTTCGGGTTGATAAGCATTCATTGCTCATATAATTGTCAAATAATTCGTGACAAACTGCTGCACATTTTCTGATATGGTCAGTCGTCAAATGTAACCATAAATTTAGGTTCACTAAAACTGTATCGTATGTATTACACATGTTAAATGTCGTAAAATCAACTGCAGCCAATAAAGCAAATATATAAATAGCGAACAGGCTTGTAAATGGTTCGTAGCATTAGCCATATCCAATCTGCATATTTTTATTATTACTGAAGTTGAAAACTTCATCCTAAAATTCTGACTGTCTTAACAGAAAACGAGGAGAATTAAATCGGGGGAGGGAGTTGGGCAAATGTAACAGCCCCATAAGTGCAATTATGCACTGTTTATGACAGTAAGAAAGTGTACTTATTACACTTAGTATTAAATCGTACTGTCAATTCGGAGGATGGGTTGCAGAGACAGTTTGTTTGTTGTGAACCTCGTCCTCATTCAGTGAGTACTTCTTTTTCATGAACAAGATAAGCATAGCGTCAATTTCTTTTGATGCTATACGCGATCTCTTTTTTTCGTCTTAATGCACTATAAAATAAGCTAATTTCTGAGAAATGTGTGTATATACATCTGCAAATTTCATGAGGTGGTTTGTAATGTTCTCATCTATGTCATTGATGTATTTGACAAAAAGGATTAGCCCGAAATGGAACTTTGAGGTACACGACTTAACACATTTCTCCAGTCAGATTCATTTCCATTTAGGACGACTCTTTGCTTTCTTTGTCTTATCCATTGTACTCTTCTACTATTTATTCCATGTGTTTGTAGTTTAATCGCCAGTCTTTCATGTGGTACCTTATCATAAATTTAGCGAGCCTATCTGTGCTACATCTACCGGAAGTCCTTTGTCTGATTAGTCTGCTAACATTGTGATGTTTAAATGTGAGCAGGTTAATAAGGTAGGATTTAATTTTAACAACACCATGTTGCGTTGTTTTTACTAGTAGAGTTTTTACTAGTTTTTACACGATGAGATGGTGAATAGTTCCCTCTCTCAAGATTCTCTGATGAGGCTGCAGATATGCGAGGTCAGACTGATTGCATGACTGACCTCTGCTTATTTTTTCAAAAGGGGTGACATTTGCATATCTCCAATCTAGGAGAATTATCTCTTAATTCAGAGATTTTCTGAAAATAAGTTTCGGTGCTAGACATCATTCATCTGCCTCTTTCGACTTTGGTTTAAATCTTTTAGTTTGTTAAGTGTTGTTCTAGATTATATTGCTATCTGGGAATATCCCTCACCTCGTTCTCTTCACCTGTCCCAAACACTTGTGTGGGTATTGGGATGTCTGATGTCTCTAGTGTGAACACTGATGTAAAGTATCTATTCAGTGTTGGCTGCCCTTTTATCATCAGTCATATAACTTGGTCGGTCTCATCTTTTTATGGGTTCTGCCGAGTCTTTTTTGTTTTACATCTTATATATAGACATATAATGACGATCTTTGCACAAAGTAATCATGTTAGTGTGATGTATCAACGAGAAAAGCATTTTTTTTTTATTATTAATTTCAAGCAATAAAAGCCACGAGGAGGATTAGAACCTCTACACGCCTTGAACCACTTAACCACGACATGCTCAAAAGCAGTGAAACCTGGGATACAACTGAATCCTCGAGGGGTGCTGAGGCCTCCGCTTAAGTCAAGTCAGGGGTTTCACACCCTTTGCCCCCATGCACTATGGCTGTGGTATAGGAGTTTAGTGTAAGCCTCAGGACGCCTAGCGGATTCAATTAACTCCCAGGGTTCATTTCTTTTTTGTGTATGTGATGATTAAATGGTTTAAGGCGTGTGCTTGGGATTACCTCAGTGTGCAGGTTCGAATCCTCATCATGGCTTTTACTGATTTTCTCAAGACTGGATCTTTATATTTTGAGCAAATTTTTTTTTTTCCGTAGTTTCATTTCGCTGATCTGATTTCCTGGGGTGACCGAATTTAAAGCCCTCTTGTATAACTCATTAGTTACTTTGTTCTTTGTGAATTGATACCTTCTTTAGAGGTTGCGCTTAATTGCCCGAAACGCTTTGCGTAATAGTGGCTTTAGGCATTGTATGTACTAGCTCTACCTATAAGTCAAACAATCCTTGTAAATATTTATTGTATGTATGTACCTTACCTAAATAAAATTGTATTGTATTGTATTGTAATTATTAAGAGTTGTTTTTAACTGTCTATGTCTTGGTACATATTTTTGTACAAGTTCAGTAATGACATTTAAAAAAAATTCCATGATGCTTCCATGTTTTGATCTGCTATTAACTCGCTCCAGGTGTTTTGCAGTTCCTCTCTTATTCCTTTATAGTCTCCTCAAGGGTAGTCTAGAAAGTCATCTTCCTGGACTTTTACAAGGGTTTCTGTAATTGTAATCCATCTTAGAATATTGTGTTCACACGAAGGGGCGAGCTCTTCCCTTACATGTATTTGATCGATCTTTGTTGACCAAATCACTCACTAAAAAGTGAAAGGACGACGACGTTTCGGTCCGTCCTGGACCATTCTCAAGTCGTCGACTTGAGAATGGTCCAGGACGGACCGAAACGTCGTCGTCGTCCCTTCACTTTCTAGTGTGTGGTTTGGTCAACATATTTCAGCCACGTTATTGTGACTCTTCGTCTGCATCTTGATCGATCTTGCCCTCTTATGTTGACACAAGACCTAGAATACTGTTACCCTGAGTAGGCTGTCACATGCTGTATGATAAAGATGTGAAAATTGTTCTCCTTAAACTCATGAAATTAAATTCACGCAATCTATTGTCTCGTGGTTAAAGTTTCTCATTATGAGGAGTTGAGTTTTCGCTGCCGCATTAATCCCATTATGCAGAGGATTAACTTCCTCTGCTGTTGTTGTGTCTGCTCTGTAGTAGATTGATTGATTGATGAAGATTAAGCCAGTCAAAAGGTGGCACGGGCATGAATAGCCCGTAAGTGGTGGCCCTTTTGAGCCATTACCAGTATCAAGAGCTGATACTGGAGATCTGTGGAGGTGCGACTGCACCCTGCGTGACGGGAGATGCCTGCTCTGTAGTATACTCCCACTGTTATATATATGGTATATATAAAGTGTGTGACGTCACTATGATAATTTTATTCCGACTCAGGTTTTAGAGTCTGCTAGCTGTGACCCCGTGTGTGTGTATATTTGTAACACGTGGTTACTCCTTAATAGGGAGACCTTTAATAGGGAGTATTTATGTTGATCGTGGTGTAGTGGTAAGACACTCGCCTGGCGTTTCGCGAGCGCTTTGTCATGGGTTCGTATCCTGGCCGGGGAGGATTTACTGGGCGCAAATCCTTAACTGTAGCCTCTGTTTAACTCAACAGTAAAATGTGTACTTGGTTGTAACAACGATTCTTCGCGGCGGGGATCGTATTCCAGGGACCTGCCCGAAACGCTACGCGTACTAGTGGCTCTACAAGAATGTAACAACTCTTGTATATATCTCAACACACACACACAAAAAAAAAAAAAAAAATTATTCATCATTATCATTGGTGGGGTGAATATCTTATTGATTTTTTCCTATATTTTATTCCGAACCCTGTTAGTTTTAAGGTAATTATCCAAAGAACGCATTTTCATAGTGACTTGAAAATTAAAACACTTCCATTCATGATAAATCAAGTTTCTTTTTTGAATGTGGGCAATATGCCGTTATGGTAAACAAAATAGCAGATGCTGGGGCCTTTGCTCGGTACGTAGATGGGTGGGGAACCTTTGCACAATATATAGAGGATGTGTTGAACCTTTTCCGCATAGATATGACGTGATCTACGACTACCAGCGACTGATGGACGCTAATGAAAACGTTTATATATATAAAAAAGAGGTTTTGTGAACTAAAATAAGAAATCGGGTGTGATGGAGATTCAAGAACCAACACGTGCTCACGATAGCACGTGTTGTAGCATCAGGAGAGCACTTGTGTTCTTGCAAGGTGCACCTTGAGTGCCAGGTGCCACTGATGTCACTGCCAAGCTGAATGGCAACAGTCAGACTAATCCCAGTTAATTAAAACCATGTCTGACAGTGTTATTATAATAATTATAATGTCATACGTTGGTACAAAAAGTTACTGTGTTCCTGCCTTTCTGTTATGTTATTTCATCGTCTCTCATTCTTCCCCCCTATCTTGTTCTGTCCTTCGCCCTTCCCTTCCCTTCCCTTCCCTTCCCTTCCCTTCCCTTCCCTTCCCTTCCCTTCCCTTCCCTTCCCTTCCCCCAAGGACGCTTGTTCTTATTCCCTACCTGGTGCTGGTCGAGGTCTCTCACTGAGGTGACGTTGGGACAGGCGCCCACCTCCAGCAGCGTCGAATCCTCCTTCTGGTCCACCGTCTTACCAATTGTCGCCCTCGACGCCGTCCTTGTCCTTTTCACCACCGCCGCTTCCACTGCAGGAGACGTTGTCACCTTCACTGCAGCACCTGTCGTCGCCTCCACCGCAGCAGCTGTAGTCGTCGCTTCCACTGCAGTAGGAACAGTCGTCGCCTCCACTACAGTAGGAAGCGTCGTCGCCGCCTCCACTGCAGCAGAAACCGTCGCCGCCTCCACTACAGTAGGAACAGTCGTCGCCTCCACTACAGTAGGAACAGTCGTCGCCTCCACTACAGTAGGAAGCGTCGTCGCCGCCTCCACTACAGCAGAAACCGTCGAAGCCTCCACTACAGTAGGAACAGTCGTCGCCTCCACTACAGTAGGAACAGTCGTCGCCTCCACTACAGTAGGAACCGTCGCCGCCTCCACTACAGTAGGAACCGTCGTCGCCGCCTCCACTGCAGCAGAAACCGTCGCCGCCTCCACTACAGTAGGAACCGTCGTCACCTCCAAGGCAGCAGCTGTAGTCGCCGCCTCCACTGCAGTAGGAACAGTCGCCTCCATTGCAGCAGAAACCGTCGTCAGCTCCACTGCAGCAGCTGTAGTCGTCGCCTCCACTGCAGTAGGAACCGTCGTCGCCTCCTCCACTGCAGGAGCAGCCATCGTCGCCTCCTCCACTGCAGTAGCAGCAGCCATCGTCGCCTCCTCCACTGCAGTAGCAGCAGCCATCGTCGCCTCCTCCACTGCAGGAGCAACCATCGTCGCCTCCTCCACAGCAGCAGCAGAAGCAGTGGTGGCTCCCACTGCAGCAGCCGTCGTCCTCCCCGCAGCCAGCAGCACCACCATCACAACTATCATCACCACCATCTGTTGTGGACACGCAGGCTTAGTAGGGAACCACAATACTTTATATGATTACAAATGTGTGTAATATTAAACAAGTATCGAGTGCTATCTTATAGTTATAAACTACATTTTACCCGGCGGTCTCTGATGCTTTCCCCGACCATCCAAGAGGGTTGGCCACCCTTCCTTCCCTTCCGTCCCATCCCATATCCTTATCCTGATTGATTGATGAAGATTAAGCCACCCAAAAGATAGCACGGGCATGAATAGCTCGTAAGTGGTGGCCCTTTTGAGCCATTACCAGTATCAAGAGCTGATACTGGGGATCTGTGGAGGTGCGACTGCACCCTGCGTGACGGGAAATGTCTCCCGTGTATATCCTAATCCCCGTTCCCAGTGATATATAGTCGTGGTGGCTTGGCGCTTTACCCCTGATAATTCCTTCCTTTGATGTTTGGTACCTTATGCAGTATTAATCACATCGTTTTAGAAGCTGTGTCTTGAGGTGGCTTCCACCACCTCCGCTTCCAGTTCATCACTCTTGTTTACCATCTTTAATACATACAAAAGGTCTCGAGTTCGATTCCTGCGCAGGGCGGAGACGTTTGGGCATGTTTCCTTCCACTGATGCCTTTGTTCACCTTGATGTAAATAGGATCCCAGGAGTGAGGTAAAATGTTTTGGATTGCATCCTGGGGATGGTCATTCTTTGGTCTAGGGGCCTGACGGCTCAGTGGACAGCGCTCGGGATTCGTAGTCATAAGGTTCGGGGTTCGATCCCCAGCGGAGGCAGAAACAAATGGGCAGAGTTTCTTTCACCGTGATGTTCCTGTTCACCTAGCAGTAAATATGTACCTGGGAGTTAGATAGCTGCTACGGGCTGCTTAATGGGGGATGTGTAACAAAAATGGAGGCCTAGTCGAGGACCGGGCCGCGGGGACGCTAAGCCCTGAAATCATCTCAAGGTAACCTGACCCGAGGGAATCTAGCTGGCCTCCTGTCTCACACAGTAGGCACAGTTTCCGGCTCCCACCGTCTTCTTGGCTCACCGTAGTTCACCGTAGTTTGGGTTCCACTTGACTCACGTGACGCACGTTCAGCGCACCTTGACTCACGTGACGCACGTTCAGCGCACCTTGACTCACGTGACGCACGTTCAGCGCACCTTGACTCATCTGGTGAAAGTGGGAGCATTTAACCGGTATTTAATTTCGGGTGAAAAACAAAAATATTAAAAAAAAAGTGAAATCCCGACTTTCCACGTGCGTGAAGCTTTCGAGCGTTGTGCGTGCGCTTTTTGGCGCGGCATTGTCTCATGCGCTGCCTTGGGAGCGCTGAATGGTGAGTGTGAGTACAGTGAGGTGCTCATTATAGTGGTCATGTATGAGGGAAGGTAATGTTTCCTGGAGAGAGACATCTCCCGTCACGCAGGGTGCAGTCGCACCTCCACAGATCTCCAGTATCAGCTCTTGATACTGGTAATGACTCAAAAGGGCCACCACTTACGGGCTATTCATGCCCGTGCCACCTCTTGGGTGGCTTAATCTTCATCAATCAATCAATTCCTGGAGAGAGACATCTCCCGTCACGCAGGGTGCAGTCGCACCTCCACAGATCTCCAGTATCAGCTAATGATACTGGTATGTTAGTGCGCTTCACGTGAGTAATGGCTCAAAAGGGCCACCACTTACGGGCTATTCATGCCCGTGCCACCTTTTGGATGGCTTAATCTTCATCAATCAATCAATCTTCCTGGAGCGTAGTGCTCGTGGGGGGGGGGGTCTTAACCAACACGCTGACCACCACTACAACTCTCACTACCACCATTATCACCACCACTATCACTCATCACCACCACTATTCTCACAACTCATTATTGAGACTAACTATTCAACCCGTTCTCGCACTTTCTTACAGTCAATATTGACTTATTAAATAAGTGCATATGTGACATAGTACTTTATTGTGAATATTTTAGTTTACCTTGAAAAGCTTGATAGAAAACACCGACCTTACCTAACCTTCTTAGTATGTTTAGATAAGCATCTTATTGCTTCGTAATTATAATTATTACTTAACCTATACCTATAATAGGTTAAGTAATAATTGTAATTACGAAGCAATAAGATGCTTATTGTAATTACGTAATTACAATTATTACTTAACCTATACCTATAATAGGTTAAGTAATAATTGTAATTACGAAGCAATAAGATGCTTATTGTAATTACGTAATTACAATTATTACTTAACCTATACCTATAATAGGTTAAGTAATAATTGTAATTACGAAGCAATAAGATGCTTATCTTAACATACTAAGAAGGTTAGGTAAGGTCGGTGTTTTCTATGAAGCTTTTCAAGGTAAACTAAAATATTCACAATAAATTAGTATGTCACATATGCACGTATTTAATAAGTCAATATTGACTATACGAAAGTGCGAGAACGGGTTGAACTATTGCCGTGGGGCTCCTATATATATATATATATATATATATATATATATATATATATATATATATATATATATATATATATATATATATATATATATATATATATATATATATATATATATATATATATATATATATATATATATATACATATATATATATATACATATATATATATATATATATATATATATATATATATATACATACATATATATATATATATACATATATATATATATATATATATATATATATATATATATATATATATATATATATATATATATATATATATATATATATATATATATGTATATGTCGTACCTAGTAGCCAGAACGCACTTCTCAGCCTACTATGCAAGACCAAATTTGCCTAATAAGCCAAGTTTTCCTTAATTAATATATTTTCTCTATTTTTTTTCTTATGAAATGATAAAGCTACCCATTTCATAATGTATGAGGTCAATTTTTTTATTGGAGTTAAAATTAACGTAGATATATGACCGAACCTAACCAACCCTACCTAACCTAACCTAACCTATCTTTATAGGTTAGGTTAGGTTAGGTAGCCGAAAAAGTTAGGTTAGGTTAGGTTAGGTAGGTTAGGTAGTCGAAAAACAATTAATTCATGAAAACTTGGCCTATTAGGCAAATTTGGCCATGCATAGTAGGCTGACAAGTGTGTTCTGGCTACTAGGTACGACATATATATATATATATATATATATATATATATATATATATATATATATATATATATACATATATATATATATATATATATATATATATATATATATATATATATATATACATATATATATATATACATATATATATATATATATATATATATATATATACATATATATATATATATATATATATATATATATATATATATATATATATATATACATACATATATATATATATATATATATATATATATATATATATATATATATATATATATATATATATATATATATGTGTGTGTGTGTGTGTTTTCTTCTGACCTTCAAGGTTGGTGTTGGCGTATCTGGTGAATGAGGGAGTGATTGTGGGTGGTGGAGGAGTCCTGGTGGCGAAGGGATTGTTGGTGAGTTGTGTGGGTGGGAGTGTTGGAGAGTCTGGTGAGTGAGTGAGGGAGGGAGTGTACCTCCCTCACTCGTGGTTGTAAGGGAGCGTTGCTGAGTATCACTCATCCCCACCCAACCCCTAGATATACTATATCATCTTTGTGAAATAAAATGTATGTATTAGCATTCCAATCTTCGAATTTGATAGCATATCAGAACTATGTCATAATGATCAACAAATATTGCGTCCTTGACTTTGGCAAAATATCGCAACAACTATCGCCTTAAGTGTGGAATTAAAGCAAATTAAATATATTGTTTCTAAAGCCAGTTTGGGGTCCAAACTTTGTTGTAATGTAAAACAGTTTGTCGTAACTTTACGGCCAGATTGATTATGAGTTAACTGGCCCAGCGGTGGAGATGACAAGTGTCACATTATAGTCCTTGTTGAGACTAAGTGTCAACAAGGTGTTCTAAGTGTTCGTCTAGGGTGACTAGACGAACCCAGTCTATTCGACTCGTAATGGTAGTTAAGAAAAATAACACTTGCTGCGTCACTTCAACCACAATGAGATCTCTTGTGTCATTTGTCTCGTGAACTTTAAACTTTGGCAAGTGTTGCACCGTTTGTGTTGGCATTATCGCTTGCCACAAGTCCGCTGTTAACGTTGTCTCCTGTGTGTGGCGCCTCACACCTTTGGCCCATCGTGTAGGATTGTAGGTGACTTTTGCTATCCATGTTCTGTCCTCTTTGTTCTGACCCCGCGGGTACCCAGTGGGCAGTAAGGCTGCTCCAGCGGGTATTGTTTGCACCCCCGCGGGTACCCAGCGGGCAGTAAGGCTGCTCCAGCGGGTATCCTTGCACCCCCGCGGGCAGGGAAGCCGGTCCAGCGGGTATGCTTGCACCCCCGCGGGCAGGGAAGCCGGTCCAGCGGGTATCCTTGCACCCTCGCGGGCAGGGAAGCCGGTCCAGCGGGTATGCTTGCACCCCCGCGGGCAGGGAGGCCGGTCCGGCGGGTGTTATGGCAACACGCGAGCAGCGGTACACACACACCACACACACAAAACAGGATAAAAACTGGTCCTGGAGGAGCAAGCTGCAGGAGGTGTCTGCCTTGTCCGGCGTCCGGTTCTCCCAATGATTCACAAGCAACAGTAAAATGGTGAATAATTACCGGTCGATTAACACTGGAAATCAAAGCCACGATAAAAAACTGAAGCTGATAACAGCAGCGGCTCGGTAAGCCTCTGGGGTCAGATTCACGAAAGCGCTTACGCAAGCACTTACGAACCTGTACATTTTTTCTCAATCTTTGGTGGCTTTGTTTACAATTATTAAACAGTTAATGAGCTCCGAAGCACCAGGAGGCTGTTTATAACAATAACAACACTTGAATGGGAAGTTATCATGCTTGTAAACTGTTTAATAAATGTAACCAAAGCCGTCAAAGATTGAGGAAAGATGTACACGTTCGTAAGTGCTTGCGTAACTGCTTCGTGAATCTGGCCCCAGGTTCGTAAGTGCTTGCGTAACTGCTTCGTGAATCTGGCCCCAGGTTCGTAAGTGCTTGCGTAACTGCTTCGTGAATCTGGCCCCAGGTTCGTAAGTGCTTGCGTAACTGCTTCGTGAATCTGGCCCCAGGTTCGTAAGTGCTTGCGTAACTGCTTCGTGAATCTGGCCCCAGGTTCGTAAGTGCTTGCGTAACTGCTTCGTGAATCTGGCCCCAGGTTCGTAAGTGCTTGCGTAACTGCTTCGTGAATCTGGCCCCAGGTTCGTAAGTGCTTGCGTAACTGCTTCGTGAATCTGGCCCCTGGATCACATTAATTATATACAAATAAAGCACAGTTCGCTTGAGAATGCTTGACCTTTTATTAACAAAAATGTCTAAGTCACACACCGGTAGCCGCTTGCTCAATTGCGTGAGAAACGGTTCATGCAAAAAAATATTTGCTTTAAATTAAAATGAACACCTTTAATTGAATACAAAAACTCGATGACTTAAAATAGTGAAAAAGCGAGCATGGTGGTTGTACACAGGTGAGCCCGTGGTTGTAAGGGGTCCACAGGTGAGCCCGTGGTTGTAAGGGGGTCCACAGGTGAGAAAGTCGTTGTAAGGGGGTCCACAGGTGAGCCCGTGGTTGTAAGGGGGGTCCACAGGTGAGAAAGTCGTTTTAAGGGTGTCCACAGGTGAGAAAGTCGTTGTAAGGGGGTCCACATATGAGAAAGTCGTTGTAAGGGGGTCCACAGGTGAGAAAGTCGTTTTAAGGGGGTCCACAGGTGAGAAAGTCGTTGTAAGGGGGTCCACAGGTGAGAAAGTCGTTTTAAGGGGGTTCACAGGTGAGAAAGTCGTTGTAAGGGGGTCCACAGGTGAGAAAGTCGTTGGAAAAGAAGGACTGAGACAAAAGATAGGAAACCACAACCCCCTTGACCAAGTACAAACCTTCCCCGGGATGCAACCCACAAGACTTGAGTACCTATTTACTGATAGATGAACAGGGGCATCAGGTGAAAGGAAGCGTGCCCAACCGTTTGTGTCCTGCTCGGAACTGAACTCGTGTCCCTCGGGTGTAACCCGAGCACGTAGACCACTGTGCTACAGGACTCATATGAATATGAGACTGGTGGTTTAAGCGGCAAATGATAGTTGAAATGGTCATCAAGGATTCACTTACGGACCTCTCTGCCAGAGCCGTTTTCTTAGCTGATATATATTTCATGTCTGTGAGGGGGTCTGTGAGGGCCTATGAGGACCTGTGAGGGGGTCTGTGAGGGCCCTATGAGCGCCTATGAGGACCTGTGAGGGGGTCTGTGAGGGGCCTATGAGCGCCTATGAGGACCTGTGAGGGGGTCTGTGAGGGGCCTATGAGCGCCTATGAGGACCTGTGAGGGGGTCTGTGGTTGGTGAGTTAGAAGCTCGACATTAATCGCTAAAGGTTAGTTGTACTACTAGGCAACAATTTGTAAAGGTTACTGGCCTCCTAGTCAAAGATCTGTTTAGGTTAGTGACATTATACCAACTCATCCTCACGTCAGTGCTATACCTTTGTGTACGGTTTGAAAAGTCTTTTGATGGTGTCGAAGCCTCAGTGAATCAGCAGGTGGGTGTCGAAGCCTCAGTAAACCAGCAGGTGGATGTCGAAGCCCCAGTGAATCAGCAGGTGGGTGTCGAAGCCCCAGTGAATCAGCAGGTGGGTGTCGAAGCCCCAGTGAATCAGCAGGTGGGTGTCGAAGCCCCAGTGAATCAGCAGGTGGGTGTCGAAGCCCCAGTGAATCAGCAGGTGGGTGTCGAAGCCTCAATGAATCAGCAGGTGGGTGTCAAAGCCCCAGTGAATTAGCAGGTGGGTGTCGAAGCCCCAGTGAATTAGCAGGTGGGTGTCGAAGCCCCAGTGAATTAGCAGGTGGGTGTCGAAGCCCCAGTGAATTAGCAGGTGGGTGTCGAAGCCCCAGTGAATTAGCAGGTGGGTGTCGAAGCCCCAGTGAATTAGCAGGTGGGTGTCGAAGCCCCAGTGAATTAGCAGGTGGGTGTCGAAGCCCCAGTGAATTAGCAGGTGGGTGTCGAAGCCCCAGTGAATTAGCAGGTGGGTGTCGAAGCCCCAGTGAATTAGCAGGTGGGTGTCGAAGCCCCAGTGAATCAGCAGGTGGGTGTCGTAGCCCCAGTGAATCAGCAGGTGGGTGTCGAAGCCCCAGTGAATCAGCAGGTGGGTGACCTCACAACCCGTCACTGTTATGTGTCGGCCTTGTACGGTAGGGGGGCGGGGGGGAGCGAGGCTTGCAAGTCAAGCCTGTGGCAACACCTATGCAAGATGACAAGCTTTTAAATGGTCACACATCATGTATACATGAATGGTTACAGTCCATGTATACTAAAACGGCTTCAGTTCACGAATGGTTGCAGACTGTATACACGAGACTGAGGGTATGAATGAAAGTGAGAGTGAAGCAAATGTGAGTGAGAGTGTAATAGTCGTTTGTTGCTTATATCTGACCTTTCTTACGCCCATGTGGCCCTGAAGCAAGATAACCATTGATACGTGCCCTTTGAAGCAGGATAACCAGTGACACATGGCCTTGAGGCAGGATAACTACTAACACATGACCATAACGTATGATAACTACCGGCATATGACCTTTGACACCTGCCTCTCATGCGATAAAAACATACTCAGTAGGTCAGCATTGTGCAATGCTCTCAATTTGATAATTGTATTTTTTTTTATAAATTTACTTTCATTTTTTAAGAGGACACGACGCTCATCGTTTCACTCAGTTCACAGTGGAAAATAGGTCTCCTGTCTGTCTGTCAACATTTAAGTGGTATAATCTCATTATGTATACCGCTAGTGGTGACATACATACATATATACACATATGTATGTATAATACCACTGGTAGTGAACATGCACACTGCTAGTAAAGATATACGCCCCATGGAGATATAACAAAGATATTCTCCACTTCAGGGGGTTTAAAATACAGTACAAAGTTCTCATACACTTACAGTAAACAATATTTTTCATACATATAAAACCTTGCTAATACTCACTTTCAACCAGCTATCTTTTCTTCGGAAGGGCAACACAGATATCAAGTTTTATTGATGCTTTTTTTTTTAATATGCAATGCAGCAAACCTTTTCATAAACGGGAACCTTTTTTTTTTATCAAAAGCACCTTTTCCTTAACTTTTAGAAAGATCGTACTGCAAGATAACGTTTTCTTTGTTATTGCTAATATACACGAGATACTATG